AGAGAGAGAGAGACTTAACATCAAACACCTAGAGGTCATCTTTTTTTATTTCTTTCCTTATATGTAGACTTAGAGATAGCATATGCATCCATGTGTGTGAGAGTGAGGCCTCACACATTTAGAGGGCATGTTCATCTGTGTCTTCTTCGTATAGGTAGAGAGAGATAGAGATAGAGAGGCTCGTGTCGATCACTTGCAGGTCACCTTAATCTTTTTCTTCTTATATGATGAGAGAGAATATGGGTCCATATATGTGTTTATGTGTGTGTGTGTGAGAGAGATGCCTTGCATCGAAAACTTGGAGGCCATCTTCTTTTTCTACTTCTTATATATATATTGAGAGAGCGCATATGGGTCTGTGAGCTAGAGAGAGAATGGCCTTAACCATTTTTATATGCCCATGTTTTTTTTTATTTTTTTAAAGGGGCTTCATGTGTTTATTTATTTATTTCTATTTTATTTTTAATAGTGTGGCACTAGATACCCGTCTTGAGCCCTCCTAGGCCTAACATAGGCTTTTTACAAGCTGGGTGGCCGAATTTTTTAATACTGCTCGACAATCATGCTACATCTGTAGTTTATAGGGATCATAGTCCTACAGTTGCATGAACACCTTTGTGGTCTTTGGCAGTTCATAGGGGTAGGCTTTGGCCCTCGGGTTTGATGGTTTATGCAGAGTTTTGTCTTTGCGCAAGGGATTGCTATTTTTCATGCAAATATTTTTAAAAGTACTTATCCTATTGGGTTTTTTTGGGAGTGTTCTAGCTGTGGTGTTATGGGGTAGTGCAGTCCATATTCTTTATTTTGTTTTTATTTTTATTTTTCTTATAAGGCCACTTAGGTTCTCGTTCTCCCTCCAGGCCTCTGCCCCGATCCCATTAAGGACTTGCATTCCCAAAAAAACTGTTCTGATTGTAGTAGAGCAAGTATGCTTCTCCAAATTTTGTCTTTTTTAAAGGTTCTAATTATGCAGTCAGATGTGGAAAAAAGAAGCAATAAAAATAAGCAACATATCTAACAATGAGGATATTTTGAATAAGAAAAGCATAAAACAGAAGTTAATTTGATGGAAAATAGTTTTATTGCAATGCAGGGAAAAAAATTGGTAATAAATTTTTGGGAAAATATCTCCATACCCCCTATTTTTAGGTTTCATTTCACAATAGACCCGAGGATTTAAAAGATATCTTGAGGCATAAAAATTGTAGATTTTATTTCTTCTAACCCCCTGAGCTAATTTAAACTTGTTTTTTTAGGCCAAACTAATCTAAAACGACATGCCTTCTCTCTCTTGTGCCGATTACCCCTCTCACTCTCTCTCCCTCTTGTGCTCACTACGTCTCTCTTGCCTGTCAAAAGAACTCACGGCGTCCAAGCGCTTCAATTTCTCATTCCAACAAAACAAAATCTTTCACCCCTCTATTTGTCTGTTTTGGGAGATTGTTCATCAGTAAGGCCAAAAACCTCGTTTTAGATTAATTTGATTTCCCTTTCTATTGAAGGCTGAAAATAACTACTGAAAATTCTCAGAGAGAAAGTGCCTCTCTCTCTAAATTCTCTCATTCTTCTAAGTTCTAACAATTGAACCGGCACTGAGAGAGAGAAGGCATGGCTCAGTAATATCAAAACCCCAAAACCTACTAAAATTATTTCGACTTCCTCTGTATTGACAGCTGAAAATAAACTATGGAATGGGGCTTTGGTCACGCTACTAAGATTGGACCAAGCTTGCAAGATGAGAGAGAGATAGAGGACTTCAAAGCCCGGTTGGAATATGGTGGTTTGGGGAAATAGAGAGAGAGGTAATGGGGCACGAGATAGGGTAAATGGGGGGAGGGTTTTAAGGAGGTCGAGAGAGGGAGAGGTAATGGGCAAGAGAGACAGAGAGTTTTGGGGGCTACTGGTCTATGGTGGTTTGGGGAAAGAGAGAGGTAATGGGGGTAGAGAGAGAAAGAGGTTGGAAAAATGGGGAGGTAAAGAGAGAGGTGGACGCAGGAAGAGAGAGAAAGAGAGAAGTTTGGGGTATATAAGTGAAGAGAGAGAAAGGATTGAGTTTAGAAAGAGCATGTCTTTCTCACATTTGTTAAGGTTAAAAAATAGATTTAAAGTGGCCAGGGGGTTAGAAGATATCTTTTGAAACCTTGGGTTTATCAAGAAATGAAACCTAAAAATAGGAGATATGGAGGTATTTTTCTTAAAATTTTTTATTGCACCACTAAAATATTCATCCAGAGTATTTTATCATAGGATTGTTGAGCAAGCCTATTGTAATGGAAACCATTGCCGTAGTTTGTCAGCATTGTCTTCTATGGACGTAATCTTTTCTGATAAGTTTTACATAAACACATTTCCAACTACAGCATAAGTATGGCTTGGTAGTTGAAATGGAGGTCACATGCTACAATACGAATTGTGAGTAGTTGAGTTAGTCTTTTAATTATCTGATATTTGTGGCACAGGTTCATTTTTCTTTTTTTTGCTTCCAGGCTCATGTTAAAGGGAGATACAATTGATGTAAATGCAAATGCACTTGGATTTACCATAGAAAGTAATGGAGTTCGGATTCTAGAGCCTTTTGACGCATCTATATCATTTTCGAGGGTTTCTGGGAAGATGAATATTCACCTAGTTGTCTCAGACATATTTATGAATTTCTCCTTCAGCATATTACAGTTATTCATGGGGATTCAGGAAGACATTATGGCTTTTCTGAGGATGACATCAAGGAAGGCTACTGTCATCTGCACTCAATTTGATAGAATTGGGACAATTCAGAGTATGCTATTCCGTGTAGTATTCATGTAATATTGATCATTTAAGTAGCAATAATCATAGGATAGTGTTATTGTAGGATAGTCCATGCAACTACAACCCCACCTCAGAAGCCCAAGTTTTTGATGGATTAATTCATTTTCTTGACATCCACGATTAAGATCCTGCAAGAAAAAACAGAAAAAAAAAAAGAAGAAAAATTTGGATCCCTAAAAAAGCACCATCTTGACTGCTCTCTCAACATTTGATCTCAAACTACCATTTTGGGATCCTGACTGGACCGTGCGTTTAAATTTCATGGATTTTGAGGTATGGTTGTAGTTGCTTGAAGCCCTGGATCGTGGTTATACAGAAACAGGACCCATTATTATATCATAATTGATATTAACTCCCGTGTAAGAGGTTTGACTTGCTACTATACCTTGTAGGTGACAAAAGAAACCAAACTTATGCCTTTTGGCGGCCGCGTGCTCCACCTGGCTTTGCTGTTCTTGGGGACTGCTTGACACCACTGTTAGACATCCAACCTTTTCTCTCTTTCTATTCATGGTTGATGAAAGCATTTAGATTTTGATACATGTCATTCCTGTGGCAGGGATAAACCACCATCAAAAGGAGTTCTTGCAGTAAACACCAGTTTTGCTAGAGTTAAAAGACCCATATCCTTTGAGCTTATTTGGTCCTCTCCTGCATCAGATGAGGTCTCTAATTCCCAAATACTTGAGCCTGCTAAGGCTCATGAGAAAGAATTCGGCTGCTCTGTTTGGTTCCCTGTTGCACCAGCAGGTTATGTCGCATTAGGCTGTGTGGTTTCATCTGGGAGAACTCAACCACCATTATCTTCTGCATTATGTATCCTTCAATGTTTAGTGTCACCTGGTTCTCTGAAGGATTGTGTAGTGTTCAGCTTTTTGGAACAGTATGAATCCGATTCCATGTTTGTGCTTTGCTTTGATTTCAGCTGTAAATCCTTTTCTAGCATTTATCGTGTGTGCTCCTCTGCTCTTTTGCAGGTACTTCGCAAATCTTGCATTTTGGCGAGTGGATAACTCTATAGGTTCATTTTTACCAGCAGATCCTTTAAATCTGAGAGCTAAAGGCAAACCTTATGAACTGCGGCATATGATTTTTGGCCACATTGAGGAGTCTTCTAAACCACCTAGTAGTCCAAAGGTTGGAGAGATTGTACATAAAAACAATGAATCTCGTATTCAGTCGCAGGGAGCAGCAACTGTGTCACCAGGCAGTTTGTTTGAGACTGTGGCGAGGTTTACTTTTATCTGGTGGAATAGAGGCAGTGGCTCAAGGAAGAAAATATCTATATGGCGTCCTATTGTTTCAGATGGTCTTGTTTATTTTGGGGATATTGCCATGAAAGGGTACAGAATATCCTCATATTCTCATTTATTTAAGAAATGCACATTTAACATTTGATATGAGGATTTCTTTATATAAAAATTACCAATGATTTGCATGACTTGGTTTATCAATATTGATGTAGGTATGAACCACCAAATTCCACTGTTGTACTTCGTGATACTGCTGATGAAGGCGTTCTAAAGGCCCCTTTAGATTTTCAGCAGGTAGGACATGTCAAGAAGCAGCGAGGTGTGGATACCATCACATTTTGGCTGCCTCAAGCTCCTCCAGGCTTCGTCTCTTTAGGATGTATTGCATGTAAAGGTGCACCTAAAAATGATGACTTCGGATCTTTAAGATGCATTCGTTCTGACCTCGTAACTGCTGGAGATCAATTTCCTGAAGAAAATATGTGGGATACAAGTGAGCTTAGACATGCTCCAGAACAATTTAGTTTATGGACACTTGATAACAAGGTCTCTTTCTATTTCTCTGCCTCTTGCTCATCTCTGCATATGTTGGGCATAAATCCTTGATTGAAATGTTTCTAACCATGCCCTGCAGCTGGGTACGTTCTTGGTTCGAAATGGTTTAAAAAAACCTCCAAAAAGGTTTGCCTTAAAGCTTGCAGATCCATATTCATCTTCTCAATCAGATGACACTATGATTGATGCAGAAATAAAAAGGATTGCTGCTTCCCTTTTTGATGATTTTGGTGGGCTGGTAAGGAAGCTAAATTGATCATGTTCCTTTCCCTTTTAGTTTATCTGTTCAAGAAACAGGAAAGGATCTTATACATACTGCTAGAAGAAATTCAACTGACCACTTAATGAAATATTTGCTGATGTTAATTTCTGCAGATGGTTCCATTGTTCAATATCTCTTTTAGTGGCATCACGTTTGGTTTGCATGGAAGATCTGACAATCTGAATTCAACTTTTAACTTCTCATTGCTTTCAAGATCATATAATGATAGATATGATAGTTGGGAGCCTCTTGTGGAACCAACAGATGGCTTTGTGAGGTGAATTTCTGAAACATGCTCACTCACCGCTTTGAATTATCTTTTAACCTAATGTGTCCTGGAAGCTCTTGATAGGGGTTTGAAGGTAAGACCTGCTCTCTCATATAATGCATCATGCATCTTTTAGGAGAACTCCGCAGGTCAATGTTGTCAGACTCGCTTCGGAGTCTTCTTCGGTTTGGTGGGAAAAATAAAGCAATTCGGTGCTTTGGCCGATTCAGGGAAAGACTTAGGACTTTTTTTTTTTAAATTTAATATAAATAAATTTGATATTTGTATATATAATATATAAAAATAATGGAAAAAATTCAAAATAAAGATTTCAAAAAAATTACTTTTATATAGATATTTCTTTGCTTCGGCCGAATCGTCCCGAAGCAGACCTGAATTGGACTAAAGCAGCCCGAAGCGGAACCGAATCTGACCACAAAGCGGCAACAGCAGGCGTCGCTTTGCTTCGGTCTAGGCCTAAAATCCGAGGGCTTCGGCCTCTTTGGCCGAAGCGAAGCTAATTTGACAACACTGTCGCAGGTCTTGGATCTTTCTTATTTGTATTTAGCTTTGTCGGATACTTGTCCAATGAATTACATTCTTCTTCGGCACAGAATTACGTTCTTCTTCAGCACAGTCTCCATGTGTGACAGCAATGCCAGCATTGTGAGAATAATATCATGCATGGTTCATCTTATTGATTTTTCTGTTCCTTAGGCTTTGCCACTTCAGTCTAATGATGGATATCTAGTGTATATGCAGGAGGTCAAGTGTTCAAATCTTGAAGTTTGTCCCAAAACAATGCCATGCTTTATATACATTTATATATAAAACATGACTTTCTAATGTTGTAGGTATGTCCATACATGCCCTTACCAAGGTTTCTATGCAGATATCAGTATGATCAGAGGACACCAGGTGCACCCTCACAGCTAAGCTTGACATCGACAAGAGATCTAAATTTGAATCTTTCAGTGTCCAATATGAACATGCTTTTGCAAGCATATGCAAGTTGGAATAATCTAAGTCAATTCCATGAATCCTACAAAAAGAAGGTGGGCCATGTTTTATCTAGCTTATGAGTTTCATGTTTTAATGTTGGCTTACAGCACGTGCTAGGTTGCGTATCATGCTCATTCCCTTGAATGGCAAGTTGGGTCCTGTAACAGTGGGCCAGGCTGAATCTGAAACCAAGACCCTTTTAAAGTAATTGATGTGGGTGAATTCATTTGGATGATGACACAGACATGGACTCAGATTTATCAGAGAAATAATAAATTCAATCTTGCTAATAATGAATATTGATAACTAAGTGAACTAAATATGATAAAATCATATGCAGGGAATGAGTTGGCAGATGGTTTTCATTGTAATATGATTTTCCTTTCCTGATATGTGGAAATTTTCTGTTGTGATTCCTCTTCTAGATCCAGATTGTTCTGTTCTTCCTTTCCAAATAGAGGAATTGGGCTATCCATGGTGGAAATTGGACTCATTGTACTAACATGGACAAGGCTCGATTCTATCAAAGTAAAAGTTCCAGCTAATTATAGAAAAGAAGAAATTGTTCTTTAAGGATTTTTTGTTTCTTAAAGGTCTAGATTTTATGATTTTTCTTTCTTCTGGATTTTATGTTTATTAGATCTCTTCGTAGGGGTCACTTGTTGATTGGTTTTATGTTCAATTATATTAAATATTCAGCTGAATTCCCCCCCCCCCCTGAATTTACCGAATAAACTTCTATGGGATCAGCTTGAATTCTTTCTAAGCACTCTGAATTGTATAATGCTTTTCTAACTACTGAAAACCATTTTGTTATCTTTATACGATTTTGCAGCGATCAATTTCCGCAGTCATTGATGGAAGATCTGTCATTGACATCCATCAAAAGAAAAATTATTACATTGTACCACAAAACAAACTTGGTCAAGACATATTCCTGCGCATTAATGAAAAGGGAAGATCATATATTATTAGGCTGCTATCTGGTGGTACTGTGACTGTAAAGGTTCCAGCTGCGAAAGACATACTAGACTCAACCTTGAGGGATAACATAAATGGGCGAGCTCGGAAGATGGTGACAGTTGTCATCGCGGATGGAGAGGTTTGATTGTCCATTTTCAAATTAATTGTATCTAATGTCCTGTGTATGTGCTAGCTATACCAACTTGGTAATTTGGGTGCTTGTTTTTTTCTTGCAATAATGCAGCTACCCAGTTTTGATGGAATAGCTTCTCATCAATACATGGTTGCTGTTCGAATCTTCCCTAAAGAATACATATCAAATGAGTCTATGAATCGGCAATGTGCACGCACTTGTTGTGTTAATTCAGAACATATTTTGCCTTCTGGAAATGCCATTGTGAGCTGGGGAGAAGTTTTTTTCTTTAAAGTTGAATCTTTGGTATGTTCAACACTGATTGCTAATTTCATTTGTTTATCTAAAGTTGTTTTTTGGCCAACTACAGGAAGTTGCTAGAGATGTAACATAGTGGCTTGCTTATTGATAGATCAGAGATCCAGATTTCTTCCTCTTAGACACTTGAGTACATTATTAGAGAGTATTGAAGGCATGCTATATTTTGGGGCATTATTACCCATTATTGAAATATGTGCATATATGACCCATTATTGGGCCTCATGATAAATAAACTGATCATCAGTTCTCTTTTTTCATGAAGATTCTAGATCTAGGCAGACTATATATTATTTCTTTCAATAGACTTAAATATTCGAATTTTCTTCCTACAAATACTCCTACATGCAGTAACTTTCTTTAACTGTATCCACTTCTCAGGATTCTTTCATGATAGAGTTCATGGTCACTGATTTGGGAAAAGGTATGGCATTTGATATTGTTATATATTTGGTAGTTCTATCTAAAATGCTGATGATGCACTTAGTTTGAGGTTAATTGGTCACCTTTTGGCTTGGTTTTCATATAATGTTTCTTTTGGCAGGTGAACCTGTAGGAATATACTCATCTTCGTTAAGGGAGATGGTTAGCATGTTCCATATGAAATCAAACTCTTTTGAGTCCAAAAGCAAATTTGCTTGGATCGATCTTGCACCAGTAAGAGACACTCTGTATAATTCTTATTTCATGTATTTTTTGTAGCCTATCCGAATCTTAATTCTGTCTTTCACATTTCAGGGATGATAAATGTTTAATAATACTTATTTTTGCTGCAGGTGCTTCAAGGGGAGAGAAATAAGAAGTCAAATGGGAGATTAAGATGTTCATTAATTTCACCAAGATTTGAAGATGGAAATGAAAAGGAAGTGTTGTCCACTGATACCAAGCATCAGTCTTTTCAGATTGCTCCTACTAAAGATGGTCCTTGGACTACGTTGAGATTGAATTATGCAGCACCAGCAGCTTGCTGGAGGCTGGGTGATGATTTGGTTGCCAGTGAAGTTAGTGTCAAAGATGGTGATAGATATGTCACCATACGCTCTCTAGTTTCAATTGTCAACAACACAGATTATGCAATTGACTTGTGTCTCCATTCAAGAGATTCCAATAGAAACTCTAAGTTGGTGGATGATGACAACCAAGACCAAGAGAAAGAAACCATCAATAACAGCTTCATGGTAGATGAGAACTTTGAAATTGAAAAGTACGATCCCTCTGCTGGTTGGGTTAGGATTTGTAGGCAGGTTCCATCCCCTCATGGATCTATAGAACAGAAAGGAAAGGAATCATGCTCTGACTCGGTGAGGATTTCTACTATGACTCAGACTTGCTTTTTCTGTATTAGTCACTTGTAGATTAGTGATACATAATTTTCGCCTATTTGGCTGAGTCGATGTGGACTCTCTCGAATCACTCGGGATCAAGATTCCAAGCCCGTGTATATATAAAGCTATAGTACTTGGCGAGTACTGAAGCAACTAGCCCAATTACTACAACAAGCGGTGAGGTTTTTGTGGACTTGAAGATTCATCAAAACTCTACTGAGTTCACAAGCAGTGAGGTTTTTGTGGACTCAGAGATTCATCAAAACTCGCCTGAGTTCACACTGGCCTTGATATATTATGGCAGTCAGAAATCTGGACTGGTTTTCCACATTTTGGAATATATATATATATATATATATATATATATATATATAGGAAAATGATCCTGTGAGCCAGTGGGCTCACAGAAAAAATGAGCCCAACAATCTGGGCCGATCTGGCTTACAGGAAAAAATGAGCCCAACAATCTGGGCCGATCTGGCGATCACGGATGTCTGGTAGTGTTTGAATTTTAATTTTTTTTCTACAAATCCAGATCACTTAAAATTTTATGTGTGTGTTCTTCTCATCAAGCCGCACCTAATAAAAATATAAAACAAATAATCTGCAAAAAATAAATTGACCAAAATACCCCCGAAACTTTACGGGGGTATTTTGGTCAATCTTTTTCATGTAAATTTTTTTTTTATATATATGTTTAGAAGATTCACCTATTTTTAATGAACACATTCCTAAAATTTCAAGTGATTTGGATTTGTAGAAAAAAATTAAAATTAAAACACTATCGGGCATCCGTGATCATCAGATCGGCTCAGATTGAGATTCAATCTGGGCCGTTGGGCTCATTTTACTTGTGAGCCCACTGGCTCACAGGATCATTTTCCATATATATATATCAACTAGATGGATCAGATTTGTTCAGAAACAATCGAATTTGACAGATATGAGAGATTGAAGATTTCAACTAGCGTTTGTCCAAAAACGCTTGAGATTTATTTGTATTAGTTGGTTGATCTTTGATGTTTGTTCCCTAAGCCGATTGTTGGGGTTTTCATTGGAAACTAGGTTGATCCTCAAAAAAAAAATAAAAAAATAAAAAAAAGAACCTTAAGCTGATTGTTGGGGTTTCATCAGAACATAGGTTTTCTTAAAAAGAAACAGAAAGAGGAGCTTAAATTTGTGAGATTTTAGTATTGGATCTGCTATCCACACCAAATTTTCAAGATCCAGGAACACCTAGATCTGAACTCAAAACCAAATCTGGTTCGAGGGTTTTGATTGGGGTTGTCTGAGGAAGCATTGACAATGATTGAAGGCACCTGTTCATAGCGATCCTATAGATTGGTCGATCAGTCTCAAAACTTGGGTAAATTTAATTTTTTTTTCAATTTAAATTCATAAGATTGAGAGTTTTTTACCCATTGTATTCATGTTTGTAGCATTTTCCATGTTGTTTATACTTTCCTTAAATATTTTTTATATTTATATTTTTCTTTTTTTCCTTTTTTCTTTTTTTCTTTTTTTCTTTTTCATTTTTCCCAAAATTTTGTGATTTTTTCGGGCTTCTTGGTGACTCCGGGCAGGCAAGTTGACTTGTAATCTCTCAAGTTGCTTGGACTGGCCTGGGGCTGAGTTCCGGCCCCAATCTCCTTACTGGTCATTCATAGTGAACCATTGCTATCATTGGAATAGATAATAGTAATTTCTTGCATTCCTTTCCTTTGTTAGTATCTGTTAATTTCTCTGGTAGTATGAAATAAGTTCCATACTAAAATTGGTTAACAATATGAGCTACAGTTTACTCACTTTGAATTTCCATGTCATGTAGATATTGTGAAATTTGTGACATGATGTCATATTTTCACCATGCAAGAATGGAGTCAAAATTTCTGTGAAGTAATGGATATAGGGTTCACTAAAAGCTAAGCTTAGGCTATTCAGGTATGTTTTGGGCATTAAGGGACTACAATACAGCATCCAATATTCAGATCCCACCTCAAATATGCTTGAAAAACTCTGGTTTCAACAAAATTGAAGGCAACTACGTTTAGTCATTGGGGGATTGTACTGATTGGGTACGCTTGAAGACTGGTTGAGCATAATGAAATGTGACCTTTTTGAAAGAGAACTCTATTGGTGTAAAATGGTAAAAGGAACTGGAATGGCATGGTCTGCCATTATTGCTAGGGAATCATGCAAATATAACCGAAGGAGTTTAAGCCATAAAAGACGGTTAAGAAATGCAAGAGATTATGCTATCTCTACCCTATCCGTCGAGTAAACCTCCATGCTGTTGATGTCTAATAATACTGGTGGAAACAATGTGACAGAGCCATTGCATTTTTTAGTTGTCTAAAATTGAGAGGATTATTTTGGTAAACTAGGGACATCAAGAATATTTGGAAATAACAAAGTTTAGGAGATTAAGATGTGCATAACCAATTCAAGAAATTATGTAATGCTGGAACTTTAAGCTAGAAAACTTGAAGTCTTACCTGAAATCCTGGCAGTAGAATAATGATCTGGGAAATCCGGTCATATGATTGGATTCTAAGCACAGTAGAAGGTTGAAGAAGAACCGAAAAAGCAAACAATGATTACATGCATATGGTAAATCGTTGTTCACATATGCTTAGGGTGAAAGTAATTTCATCCATCCATTTGCGAAATGATTTTTACCTGCAATAATACTTACTCGCTGCCGATGTTGTCTTTGTCTTGTAATAAATTAACTTTTAACCATTTCTACTTGATTTTTATATTTATCTTTTCCACTATTGCATTGTGAAGAGTGTCTGGTCTTCTGCCATCCTTGAAAGCTGGTCAATTTAAGGTTTCTTTCTTTGTTACAAGTGTTCTCGCAATAGCTGTCATTAATCTCTTAAAATGTATTATAAAATTGAAAGATTAATCTCTTACACGTTTTATAAAATTGAAAGATTTGATTTCACACTTTGCTTTATCGTTTTCTTTCTTCGTCAAATAGTGAGAGATGGAGCTTCATTACCAGTGAAGGTAATCAAGGGAATATCTTCTTTTAAATGACCCAACATGTCATTCTTTTTTGTTGTAATATATGAGATAATGAGCTTCATTACCAATGAAGATAATGAAGGGAACATCTTCTTTTGAATGACCTAAGCAGAAAAATATTTGCTTTTTGGTTTTTTCTAATTATGCAGAAAGCTAATAGTGTGGTTTATCTTTGACCTTCTTGATCGCCATGTAGGTACTTTTCAATATGGACTTGCCAACTGGCTGGGAGTGGTTAGATGACTGGCACGTTGATAAAACATCTGTAGATGATGCTGATGGGTGGGTATATGTTGTGGATCTTGATCAACTAAAATGTTCCCTCTCATTTAATTCTGAAAATTCATCAAACTCTGTGAGGCAAAGACGGTGGATTAGGAATAGGAAGCGCATCTCCAGGGATATGACACAACCAATAGCAGTTGGCCTTATAAAGCCAGGACAGACAATTCCATTGCCTTTGTCAGGCTTGACTCATCCTGGTTCAACTTATGCCTTGCAATGTAAGCCTGAGAATGATCCAAGTGAATATTCTTGGAGTTGTGTTGTAGGTGGGAATTCTAAAGATTCAGGTCAACAAGAAGAAGTTTCCCAAGTTTGCGTTTCCACACTCTGTGAGTCAGAAGTATTGTTGTTTTGTCCTGCTTTGAGTGAAGGATCTTCGAAGGACCCCCGTGGGTTGTGGTTCTGTTTGAGCATACATTCCTCAGAAATTGGAAAGGATATAAATTCTGATCCCATAAAGGACTGGAATCTTGTGATAAAATCTCCGTTCTCTATGTCTAATTTCCTTCCATTATCAGCAGAATTTTCTGTGATGGAAAAGCAGCCTACTGGTGAGTTTGTGGCTTGCTCTAGAGGGATATTCTTACCAGGAGAAACTATCAAGGTTTATAATGCAGACTTGAGAAATCCTTTGTACTTTTCCCTTCTGCCCCAAGGGGGATGGCTGCCAGTGCATGTATGCCTTCCTTTTCCTTTCCATATATGCTTTGTCGACTGTTTGTGTAGCATCTGTTGCGTTATTTTTTTTTTGTTCTCTGACCGAAACTATTCTTGTACAGGAAGCTATTCTCATTTCGCATCCGAGCAAGAAACCTTCTCAAACACTAACTTTAAGAAACTCGTTTTCTGGAAGGTCTGCTGATCCTTTTATATTCAGCAATGAGTTTTTGTTGAAATTGTTCATTTAAGCATTGACTTTTGGATTACTGTTGATACTGTACATTTAACTTACAATTTTAAAAATGCAGGATAGTCCGTGTCGTTGTTGAACAAATCCAAGATGGCAAACAACCCGTAGAAAGGGTTTTTAGAGTCTATGCACCATATTGGATTGACTTTGCAAGATCTCCACCTTTAAATTACAGGATATTTGATATATCTGGAAGGTCAAAAGCGAGAAGAAGAGGAATCTCTAATCCATTTTCGTCAAATAAGTATGTGGAGAAGGTCGTTGAGTATATTAGTTCAGAAGAAATCTTTGAGGGGTATACCATTGATTCTACATTTAATTTTGGGTTTATGGGCCTTGCGGTGGCTATTAGTTGTCCCAGTGAGGAGTGCTTTGGACCCATTTCTGATCTGTCCCCACTTGCTGGTTCGGTATGTTTATCTTCTTCTTTTAGTAATCGGTATTTTGCCAATGATTTCGTTAATAACTCTGATATTTATACGACACAGGATGGCTTTGTTGATCTTTGGGCCCGCGATAATGATGGAAACAATATCCGACTCTTTGCTTCCACAAAACCGTGCCCTTATCAGTCTGTTCCTACAAAGGTATGGATTGACACTTGTTTATTGTTATCTAATGAGAACTAAAAAAGTTTGTTTGTAATTATTTTCATTATTGCTGCAGGTTTTGTGTATACGTCCATATATGACATTCACTAATAGAATTGGCCAAGATATGTATATTAAGTTAGGCACCATGGACTTCCCAAAGGTGCTTCGTGCATCTGACTTGAGGGTTTCGTTTATGACTCGTGCAATGGAAGAATCGGAAAAACTCCAGGTAACTTGATTTCATCGCAAGGAAGTAAAGCGTCACAAAAAATATAATATGTGTGACTTTCAGTTTTATCAAAAACTCTATGATACGTGTGTGATTATGCAGGCACCGACATGTGCATGTGAAATAAATAGGTGTCATCATATTGCATGTCATGTGCATGTTTGTCATCACATAACACATGTTTATGCATAAGTATTAATAAAAAAGAGAAAAAAAGAAAAGGAAAGAAAAGAGAGAAACTAGTCAACACTTTTTTGTCAGGTCCATTTTGATAGACCCAAACATACATTTGTGTTAGTTATGTCTTCTTTTTTTTTTTTTATAATTGGCATCATGTTTTTGAAATCATATTCATTGCTTTCAGTGAGTGACTGGGTTTACTTTGGATTTGGCGTATGAAAACCATGTTGGGCTCCAAAGGCATGCCACAACCCAAGTAGAAAATAGAAATGGAAAGCCCTATCATGTAGATTTGGACCCAGAGGTTTGTTGGCACAAATCTATGGGGCATTATCATTCACCCAGCAAAGTTATTGATAAATTCTAGTTTTGTAGAGACTGAACATTCTACATGATCAAGTTGATTTGAACAAACCTCAACTCAAGTGAATGACTTTAATTTTATGCTGAACATGTTAAGTGAATGATGGAGATGATCATGTTGATCTTTTGCATGTGGAAACAGACAGTCTTGTTGACATTTATTGTCAATAATCTGTTCTTCCCTTTTATCCTTTACTGCACTTGAGGAAGTAATACCATGCCATACATCTTATCACATCCACTTATTGACTTCCAGCAAATTTCTGTAAATCATGAATTTCATGAAAATCGGATATGTGGATTTAAGTGTACTACGGAATTTACAGAATGAGACAAATTCCAGTTTGAAGTATATGGCTTATAGTTATCCAAAATAAATATGCAATAATATTTTTATTTCCAAAATAGAATCTCTTGAATTCTATAACCATAAGAGAAAACAAGAAAACTTAAAAAACTCTTATATACAGATATATTGCAGATATTTATCTTGACATTTAGGACATTGTAGTCCAGATAGTAAATGTGCTTTGGGCCTAGGCCACTTTGATCTCATTAAGCATCAATGCTTATGATGCTTATAAGTCGTGATCCATTAGTGACCCTTCTACAAATGGACTCTGTTTCTAATTTCTAGATGCTGGGTCCTCACGGCCATCAGAATACCTTGCATTCTGTTATGTTCTTTCCATTTGATTAGTGCTAAGAGAATTGTTATGGAGGATCCTTGAGCTCTAAGCATATTCTGTTAAATTTTATGCTTTAAAGGTCCTTTTACTACGATAGTCAGCAACTTTGCATTGCCCTGGTCAATTATATAGAAATTGCAATATGATTAGTATTTACTTGTCTCCTTATATCTATCGTGTGTATTGCATTTGGGGTACATTTCTTTTGTTTGAAATCTCCTTCTTGGAAAGAGATTTCAACAGGATTAGCGACTTTTCCATGGTTCTGGAGTGAAAAAGCCTCTCCACCCAATTTTGGAGAAATGAGCCCCACAAAATGGCGCTATAGAAATTAGCAGATTTTTGTGGGAAATTTATTTCATACGAGTAGAGGTATGAATAGATTTCCAATTTGCATTCAATCTATTCCTGTCGAATTTATTTCTGGAAATACATACTTAACAAACATGTCCTTGATATCCTATTAAACTGATGTCAGCATTATCTGTCTTGTCAATTTGGTTGCATGCATTCACTGGTTTGGTAGTTCAGATTATCTTGCAAGCTTAGATGATTATGATGGCACCTAAAATATTAAATGTATATGAACAGAGTGAGAGTTTATAATAACCTGTTAATAACAGCTTGTAAGGTCTACTTAATGGTTTTTCCTCATTTTACTTTGTATGTAGAATCTGTGTTGACAATTTTTCTTCTTCTTCTTCTTCTTCTTATTATTATTTTTTTGCAATTATGTTAGTAACAATCACTTCTCCAAAATTAAATACAGTAAAATTATTCTTCTTGTAGATCCGGTTGGAAGATACCGAATGGAGTTTTCCTTTAGTGATTTTAAAGGAGGATACTGCTACTGTTGTACTAAGGAAACATAATGGTAATAGGATTTTTCTGAGAACCGTAATTCGTGGTTATGAGGAAGGATCACGATTCGTCATTGTGTTTCGTCTGGGATTGTCAATAGGTCCCATAAGGTACTGTTGTCATTTTAGATTTTACTCTCCAATTCTACTTCTGTTGTTAAACTGTAGTTTGCAGGCAACTTTTTTTAAATGATCTTGTGAACTTTCAGGATCGAGAACAGAATGAGCAAGGCAATCAACATTCGCCAATGCGGTTTAGGGGACAATGCATGGATCCCTTTGAAACCTTTTTCTACCACAAATTTTACTTGGGAGGATCCTTGCGGCCAGAGGCTTCTTGATGTTACTGTTCAGAATGAAAGTTCTGTTAGTCGGCATCAATTCAGCCTCGATAAAACTGGTGATTATTTATCCACTGATGGGAGTTTCCAAAGTATTCAGCTCCATGTTGTTGAAATGGGTGATATGAAGATTGCGCTTTTCATGGATAATCCAAGAGCATTGGAACTTGGTTCTCAGGAGAAAAAGGAACTCTTGGAATCTGTAGGCCTTTGGGGTTCTCCTATGCTAAACAAGAAGCAGGCAGATGCAGCACCTATAGAACTCATGATTGAGTTAGGAATCCTCGGTGTTTCTATTATAGACGCAAAGCCAAGAGAAAATCTCTACTTGTATTTGGAGAGAGTCTTTGTTTCATATTCAACTGGCTATGATGGCGGAATGACAAGCCGGTATTATTTCTTATCTTCCTCATTTACCTTAACTTTTTTTTTTTCGTTTTGTTTGCAATGAAAATAATGTGATATGAAAGAAGAAATATTTTTTTTTAGCTTCAAATTCAAGATTGATTATGTTATGACTCCATTTTGATGCCCATCCCATTCTATGTACAATAATATGATACCCCTCATGCTTGATCTGTCTTCTGATCTAATAGGAACACCATTTCTTGAATGCGAACTGCCAGTCTTTCATCACTCTATGGTTTAACTGAATAACCATCAAAGAGACAATCACATGGCTACAATTTCATCTTCATCACTTTTGTTTTTCTTTTCCCCAGACTTTCCCGATTCCAAGGCGCAGAAACTTTTTGACTTCTCTAATGATTATATTTGTGCTCTGAAAACCCCAGTGGCCTTGTGATTTGAAAAGTTTCAAGATTTTCTTCATTCAGAAGTTTTGGGTTCAGATCCTATGTTTGCCTAGTTAAAGGAAAAGCTTTTGCATGTTATTAAGCCCTTGGAATATGTCTGCATTAAGGTAGCAAGATTGTTTAGGATGAACTTTTTGTAGTGAGAGTCTTTGTCTTTTCATAATGGAGTTTGTTATTGATGGAGTTATTTTTTTCACAGGGTGCTTATTTAATTCATACTGCTTCACAAGCAACAATAAAGGATTTTCTTCTATGTGGATATTCAGAGATTGACGTGTTTCTTATTTCAGGTTAAAACTCATACTGGGATATTTACAGATTGATAACCAGCTCCCCCTTGCCTTGATGCCTGTGCTGTTGGCCCCTGAGAATACTGTTGATGCACATCATCCAGTCTTCAAAATGACAATTACAATGAGCAATGATAACGTTGATGGCACTCTGGTGTACCCGTATGTGTGCTTCAGGGTAGGCTTTAATATCTTAGTCCAAACAGAATTTACTGTTCATATTGTAACTTTGGGTGATCTCTATACATGCATGGATTAAATAGTTTTTCCTTGAATGGTGAACAAGAAATTAAATGGAGTCTATCTTTATGGTCCAGGTAACTGATAAATACTGGAGTATTAACATCCATGAACCAATAATTTGGGAACTTATGGATTTCTACAAGAATCTCCGAACAGATCGCATTCCTGCAAACACCAGCATCACTGAAGTTGATCCAGAGATTCGAGTAGAGTAAGTATTTCTAATTAAGTACATCATACAAAAGAAAATGTGAAACAGTCAAAAGCTTTGATGATGTATGGAGAATTGGGCTTCAAGGTACATGCTATAGCTCGTACTATAAGAATCTCGTTTTATCAGCATGCACTCACAGGAGCTTTTTGCCATAAGGTCTAATGCAGCAAACCAAATAATTGTTGTTGATGTGTGCTTCTGTAAGGTTTCAAATGTGCTTCTGGGATGCCTTTCTAATTTAGGGACAAAAATAATTGCCAGCAAGCATGCTTTATTATTCCGACAGCAATGGAAGCAAAGCAGTATAGTACTATTCATGCTTTTAAAGTTTTTTTTTTCCTATCTGAGAGATAATAAAGCAGTACACGATTCGGTTTAGAAATTTTAGCTGTCCAAGATTCCAGGGTTTAGAGAGACTCAAATATGATGGGGGGGCTCCAAAATACAAGTTAAATTTGTAGTATAATAGCATTGCTCTATAAAGATTGGAGAGATATCAGCCAGTGATGTCATAAGTACAGCTCTCCCGACTCTAAATGTTCCTGGTATCGGAGGAGGAATGCCAAACCTGATAAGATTGGAGATAATTGGGGAGTATGGCAATAGCGGCCTTGATTTTGTCATCCTGGTCTAAATACACTGGCTAGACGTAACAATAACAAAAATCCTAGTGATACATACAATGAAGTATGATGATGAAATTTATATTTGGACCATGATGTTTGAGTTATAATTCCTTTAACAATATGTATATCCGTCTTAGCCTTCGAACCATCTGGTTGGTGTTGTTAAAACTTAAACCATCTTTTGCTGCTAGAAATCCAGTTTGATAAATATTTATAAGTAAATATCTTCACTTTGAAACCACTTTCCAGCTGCTATATGCAACACTATGATCATTTCTGTCATGAGTTATAGCAATGTTTGCAGCAACTTATTTTTTGTATATTTTTCAGCTTAATAGATGTTTCCGAAATAAGGCTGAAGTTATCCCTGGAGACCGCACCATCTCAGAGACCACATGGTGTCCTTGGCGTGTGGAGCCCCATATTATCTGCTGTTGGCAACGCATTCAAACTTCAGGTCCAAGAAGCTATAGAACATGTTTGATACTATGTGCAAAATAAATGAGTTTAAGCGTACATTACAGACTGGTGTAAAGCTTGAATTCCTATAGTAATATCCATACCTTTGTTTGCTCTGATTTATCACCGTGCGGATCTATTTCAGGTACATTTGCGAAAGGTTGTACACAAAAATCGGTTCATGAGGAAAAGTTCTGTTCTTCCTGCCATTGTTAACCGCATTTGGAGAGATCTTATCCATAATCCTTTCCACTTGATTTTTTCGGTGGATGTACTTGGTATGACAAGTTCAACTTTGGCTACTCTTAGTAAAGGATTTGCGGAGCTCTCAACTGACGGACAATTTCTGCAACTACGCTTAAAGCAGGTGAAAAATCTCAAATCATTCCATGGATTTGTATACATACTTCATACGTATACAAGTTACTGATTTACCACATTAATCTCAGGGGCGGTCAAGGAGAATTACTGGAGTAAGTGACGGGATTATTCAAGGAGCTGAAGCTTTAGCCCAAGGAGTAGCATTTGGTGTGTCTGGAGTTGTAACGAAGCCCGTGGAGAGCGTTAGGCAGCACGGTGTCTTAGGATTAGTCCAGGGCTTTGGAAGGGCATTCCTGGGATTTATAGCTCAACCAGTCAGTGGGGCTCTGGACTTCTTTTCATTGACAGTCGATGGCATTGGTGCAAGTTGTACAAGATGCCTCGAGGCTTTTAATAACAGAGTGACACCCCAGAGGATCCGAAATCCTCGGGCCATCCGGGCAAGAGGTGTACTTGAGGAGTATTGTGAGAGAGCAGCAGTTGGACAGGTAATTCAATTGTTTTTTTGTTTTCGTTTTTTGGGCTTTCAATTTATTAGTTGTTTCGTCTAGAAATAATCTCGCCTGGTAAGATAATAGTACTGAATATCGTTGCTTTTTCTTTTTTTTGTATTTGATAATCATTTGGTGTTACTCAATGTACCATTCAGATTCGGGTTATTAAGTGTGACTATTAGGGATGGCTATCAGGCAAGATAGATATCATCTTCACACTTTTTGTTAGAATCTTTTAGGGATGAAAGAAGTGGTTATGTGGAACTTAAGATATTAAATTTTAAAGTTTTCTTTTTCTTTTATTCAATAAACTTGAATTCCACTTATAAAGGCCACTAAATATTGTCGTAAATAAAAAATAATACTCTAGATACAACCTAGGATCTTTATTTTCATTGCCAAAGCAAATAAAAAAAATCCAGGAGCAATATACCATCTTCCACTATGATTTTTGTACAATATATGTTCTTAAAAAATCACAGAAAAATAAGAAATATGACTGAAAATTGATTAAACCAACCGGGAAGAATCATTAGAAGGTGCTTGGAATTACCCTCACGGGTCTTGATCCACCTCACACTCGATTCCTTGACTGATGACTCACTTTTGGTCCTTTAGGTGTTGCTGAAAATTCTGAGATGAGAAGCTTTTATGGGCAATGTCTCTTACTCTAATAGAGCATGGAAACGTAACTAGGGTTTGTAGGAACCTTTAGGAACAAATTAGGGCTGGGCTTGGAGGCATAGAAACCTCCTATGGCTGGGCGTACCCCTTTTTTTTCTCCAAGTAGCAAATCCCTAACTAGAGTTTCAATGTGCCACCCTTGTCTTGTCAAATTTTAGGTGGCATGACCCTTTTTGGAAAGAGGGAAAGAGAAAAACGCATTTTTAATAAAAGAGAGAAAGAGAGATTTGGTACATGTAGGAGAGAAAAATATGTGTGTTGAGAGAGAGGGGCTCAATGTTGTTTAAATAGAAAGAATTCCTTCTACTATTTAAATTTGAATGCCTTCCTCGGGTATTGTCTATTCAATGACACAACTTGACCTATTGGAACTTAGGAAATATATGGGGTGAGAGAACAAATTTGAGCCATCCATCCCACAAATTAGCCAACACGATTTTGGGAGGGATTATTTGGAACTTTATCCCCTTATAATTTGACCCAAGTCGAACTTATATTTAAGCTAAAATTATAGCCAATCCAAATCTTTCTAATATCTTTCCAAAATATGTAGGAAGTCGAAATAAGCGGAGTTTTGGTGAAACCAAACTCCTAATTAAAAACTCTTTGAATATTTAATAGATTCCTCTAAAATAACAAATGTCACATAAATAAGAGAAAAAGGGTGTACCACCCAATAGAAATTAAGTGATGCCCACAATGCCCCATGTCCCACCCATGGGTGGCACAAATGTGGGGCTGGATCCTGGGCCCCATATGTGCCCTTCCAAATTTTAGAAATTATGAAAATGCCCTTTTGAAGGATTTTACAACAGAAATAAAGTTTTAAAATTATGAGAAGTTTGTAACAAATGATAAAAATATTTCTAATACCAAAAAAAAATATTTTAGAAGTGGACTGGTACCAATGAGTCAAAATTAGCGATAATAAGGGCACTCCACTCGACCTAAGGACTATGATCTATTATTATTTTCTTGTCCAACCAACAAAGACCTATGACCCACAATCTTGATGCAGGGGCTCATGATTAGCTTGTCAAAGTTGGACAATAAACATTTGAACCATGATCATAGAATGTGGATTTCAGTTACCCTTTTTGAGAGCAAGTCCAGCATTAGTCACTATAGTGTAAAAAGGGGGCTTTCTCTATACACATATATACGTGTCCCTCTATAGGACTGCTTCTTAGTAATGTGGCTGTAATGTTTACATGCTGTGCGAAAGTTTGTTGAGGCTTTGGCTCTTGCTCTCACAAGCCTATAACTGCATACCATAGACCACAAAATTCTCCACCTACAAACATCATCCCTAGGCATCTCTCCGACCTCAACAAGAGATGACCCATCGTAAACCCTTCTCGGCAGTGCGACATGCTCAAGGGTGAGGGTTTTGGACATAACCAGGGTCATAAACCGCCCAACTCTTGGCCAGTCAACACACATTGCCACTGAAGTGTGTATTTCACTATAAAATTTCTGTTTTACAAGATCTCTAGGCATTAGAAAGGCCACAAAACTCAAAATGGAGACAAATTATATTATTATATACTGCACTTATCCACATAGTGTGGGCTGACAGAACCCTCTGCACTACATAAAATATAGCATAACACATTATGAAAAGTGAAAATGAATACTAACACTGAAATTCTCCTTTTGAGAATTCAGGAGGATTTCAGGTGAAAAACCTTTATTGGCAAAAGAATGTCTGTTATCAAGGGCAATGGAATTTTTTGGAAGGACAAAAGTCTTGTATGGAAATAATAATAAGGGTTCGAGAAGATGAGCTAACAATGCTATATGGTTGGTTCATTTAGAATTGGATATGATATGTAGGCACTTCAAGAGTTTATATATACATAAATGGAATATTGAGTTTAACACTAGCAAGTGTTATTTATAGGATTTCTTAAGATCGAAATTTATTTCTATCATATTTTATTTAAGGGAAAATATCTCCATACCCCCTATTTTTAGGTTTCATTTCACAATAGACCCGAGGTTTTAAAAGATATCTTGGGGCATAAAAATTGTAGATTTTATTTTTTCTAACCCCTTGAGATAATTTAAACCTATTTTTTAAGCCAAACAAATTTAAAAAGACATGCCTTTTCTAAAAGCCATCATTCCAAACTTTTAGAGAGAGAGAGAGAGAGAGAGAGAGAGAGAGAGAGAGGCGTTCGTGGAGGTGAGAGGTACGAGGAAGAGAGAGTAGGTGTTGGAGAACATAGGAGAGAGAGAGTGAGAGAGAATGC